TTTCCTCTCTGAAATTAATAAAAATATATTTAATAAATAAATAATAAAAATAAAAGCTACCTCTTGACTTTTTCTTCTTTCTTCTTTGGGGGTTGGGGATGGGGAGAGACTACACCAGGAATATAGCTATATTTTCTGGTTATATCATTAGTATTTCCAAAATATACATCAATATTTGTTTGCTTTCTCTATCAACTTTGCATTCCTAAAATTAGACTCCTCATCCCAAAATTCTCAGATCTAAATGATTCCTCTTTAAACAATTTTGTTTGCTGAGACTGTTGGCATTCAAATTTCACCCTATTCAAAGGCTGTCTTGGCTTTTTCCCCCTAAATAAAAATATTTTCCATAAATCCCTCATTTCTACAATATATTTTATTTCCCTCCCCCCCCCCCCCACTTCACCTGAGGACATGCTTACAGAGAGGAAAGGAGGAAGGGAGGAGGGGGAGAGGGAGGGAGGGATAGCAGTTGCCTTCCGTAGGTGCCTGACTGGGGATCAAACCCACAACCCAGGTATGTGCCCTGACTGGGAATCAAACCACAACTTTTCATTGCACGGACAACATTCAGCCACCTGAGCCACTTCAGCCAGACAGGCTCCACAATACGCTCTTTCTGTACAACTCCATGCATAAAAATACATATTTAGAAAGTTCCCCAAGTGAAATAATTATTTTAACCCTACCAATGTAAGACAAGAAATCAATATTTGCCCTTGGGGGTAAAATTCTTCCCTTAATAAGATGGACTTGAATTTTGGCTAAATTTTGTATAAGAAGGAAATTAGATGATTTGACATCTGTAATCTTTTTTATACTCAACTAATTTATTTTACTACCAGTAAAATAAGTCCTGGAAAGTCTTAAGTAACTTGCACAATAAGGTCATGCAATGAGTTAATGGCTGACATGGGACAAATAGCAATTCTCAATTCCATTTCAAAATTTTAAACTTATGATGGCCTCATGATATTTTAAACCACTCACGATCTGAGACCTAGATCTAATTATCAAATACGTAACTATCATATAGAGCACCGTGCTCAAAAAGCAACAAACTGTGTGTAAAACATGTTTATGGAGAAGGGCATGGGAGACTACTCTCAAAAAATATATTCATGGACTATTTGATAAAGTCAGGCTAGAAGAGCAAAGGATGGTAGTAAATAAATGTCATGCTCTAAAACTGAATTTCAGAGATAGTGTTCAGCATGATTTTTCTATGTTTCACTTTTCCCTGTCAGCTGTGAGCTGTTTCCAAGTGTGAAATCGCCTACAAGAGGAAGCAAAGCTGTCATTTGACATCTGGGAGCGTAGAGATTGGGATGTAGTAAAGAGCATGTTAGACTTCGTCAATTTATACATATATTCACCTATAAATTCTCAAGTCTAAAAGGTCCTCAAGCAAGACTGCTAAAAAAGACTAAGAAAAATATTTTCTTGACATTTTAGTTTTTCTTAATACTTGAAATTTTATAACAAAAAATTATTCTATATTATGATAAATAGTTGCAATGATAAAACACACAAAATCCTTTGCGTGCCTGTGTATGTGCAAATAGAAATAAAATCAGAGTAACTACAAGGAAGTCCTCTGAAGAAGAAGAATCAATTTACTCCAGTTTTTATTCTATAATCTCTCACAATGGAAAATAAAGGAGCCTGTCTAAAAGTCTCCTAATATGGAAACTAGACACTGTTATATTTGTATTGTCATGCTATACAATCTATTCCTACTTTGGGGACAATTTCTTTGCTCTTTTCTCTTCCTGAACTCCTTTCTGTTTCTCTGGTATGAAAGGAACCCATTTACCATGAATGATGTTTATTTAAAGTAAAACCTTTCTAGAGAGTCATCCTAGATAATCTAAGGATACAAAGTGAACCTAAAAGGAAGGGCTTCTACTTTGAAAACAGGGCTGGGTTTGATCAGTGAATTCGTATTCTCAAGACCCTCTTGATGGGCCTGCAGCTGCAGCCATTTATTTGCTGGCTTTTTCACAGATGTAGACAGAGAACGCTCCATGGTTTTTTGTCTTTTTGTTGTTAGATTTGTTTTCTTTAAAATAAAAAGTCACAACTTTTTAAGCTTGTCAATATCAGACATCCTTGGCAGTATATATACATTGTTGAAATGACTGTCTTTTTAAAATCTAAGACCACAAAGTTGGCACAAACCTATACTTAAATAACAGAAGGTGATCATTTGCATTTCAAAATTTATCTATCTTGCTTTTCCCCTCAATTAGACCAAAACATGTTGATTCACAGGTTTCTGTGTGTGTTTCTTTCTTTTTTTAAACTTATTTATAGAGCAGAATAATGGCCCCCCTGCTAGTTTGGCATTTGCTCAAGTTTCTGTCCATGTAAATCGAATCTGTTACTGGAAATTTTTTCTCAAAATATAAAGGCACATCATCCACAAGATAAAAAGATACATTGCTGATACTATAAAGTACAGGGCAGGTGGGTAATGTTTTTAGGACAAATACGTGATAAGGATTCCCAGGAGGGAGGAGTGGTAGGGGTAGAGGTTGCACACTGTTTAAACAGAAGTGAATCGTTTTCACCGTAATCTTATGACAACTTCACTTTCTAAGCAAACATCATCGGCTTAATATGCTTTAGAGTTACTTGGACAATAATACGAAGGTTAGCGATGGGAAATGGAAGGGCAGGGAGGTGGGGAAGAATTAGTTAAACCCTTAATCTTTCTAAGGATAGATCAAAAGAGAACTAAGTACTCTATGTCCCCCTGTATTCACTGATTTGTGATTTTTATGTGTTGAAATACTAGTATATTATCATTACTCCCACCACTTTGAGGGAAGGAGGAAAGCCTACTTGTAGCTTTTATCAGTAGGACTGCCCTTCAATTTTGAGATGCAGTAATTTACAAATTTTTGCTCTAATTCCCTTTGCATTGTAAGCAAGGGGCAGGAATACACAGACTTAACTAAATCCTATAACTTTCTAGATTTAAGATCATCTAAATTAGAACACTAGCACTACTTTTCAGTTAAGGCCATTATTGGTTTTATTTTAACCTGTTGATAAGACAAATTAAAAAGCCCAAGGAATGAAGAGATTTTCCACATTGTTCAATGCAAGCCATAATACTAAGGCACTTTTGCAACTCACAAAGCTTGAAAGTACAATTCTTTTATGCAAATAATTAAAACAAAACCCTTCTTCAGACTACAGCTTTTTTTAATGTTAGTGAAGGACAACCTGGAAGATGAGAGCAAAAATCCATTAATGGTAGACTGCCACCTGCTGGTCAACTGTAAGAACTGTGATTTCTGGGGGGGAAAAAGCTTAAAAAGTAGAACTTGGATACTGATATATTAAATTCAGTATTTCAGAACACAAAACTGAAAGTTGTATCTATTAATGAGTGCAGTATGATTCTGTTCCACACATAAACTCTAGGGAGGTCAACATGCTATAATGTAACAGTAAACATGACTGTACTTTAAATTGAAGAAAAATAATCTGCTGGAATGCCAAAGTACATACAACCCTACAGAGTTTCCAGTAAGAAAGTAACAACACTAACAGGAAATAATGAGTCAGTTATAAACATTAAACAATGCTCCATAAACCTTTGGTTTTGATCTAAGGTTTATACTGCACTTGACTTCAAGGTTTAATAGGATTCTGCTTTTAAAAAATCCCCAGATTTAATTTTGATTCTAAAACCTCCAATTCATTATAACTAGTACATATGTTTATTTATACTGCTACCTAATATGCTATTTCTCACCAAATTAGAAAAGAGGAGAGTCTGTTAAAAAAAAGAGAGAAAGAGAGAGGGAACTAAATAACCTTAACAAAGTGATTTTACTCTAAACACATTTTTGTTATCCCATTAACTAAATCATACTAATAAGGCTTCAAAAAACAGCATAATATTATGTATTTGAGAGAAACAATAAAATATAAGCATGCTCTACTGCCCCTAAAAAGACATAAAAATGAAGAGCCCTAATTTGGGAGAAGAAAGAGAGTAAGGTAAGAAGAAAATCCAAATCACTGTTTTCAGAACATAAGTTTTAGGATATTTGCTCTGCAAGTTGAAAAACTTTGAAATTCCCCATTACAGAAATCATTCTTAGTAACTAAAAACAATATAATAATCATTTCCCATTATGCAGGGAAACAATGTTAGCATCAATAATACACTGGTTAGCTAGTAAGCACTTAAACACTGTATTAATCAACAACTAAGCAGATCATGTCAACATAATCAGCTTGAACCTCCTTTGAAAGCCGGTGGGGTGACAAATGAAGGCACTTTGGCTATCTAAAGAGGCTGACTATTAGGCAAAAGGTGAACAAACTTTGGATTCTGACAAAGAGAAACTAATTCAAATACAATTCATATGCTTAAGTGACTTGTAGTTTTCAACAAAGGATCTGATACCCCTAGAAATAAATCTCTAATTAAAAGAATAAATACAGTAAAAGAGAAACATGTTATATCAAATATTTGACAAAATAGGCTATTTTAAAACAAGAAGAACATGCTTTCTAAAATTTCTCAATATATAGAATGAGCTCTTTAAATTAAAATCTGCTCTAAAATGTGAGGTTGGCTCATCTCTGAAGTCACACCCTTGCATTTTTTTTAATTCTATATTTTATCCATATTTTTAGCCTTAGGAATTTTACCCATTTAATCAATTACCTCTCACATCTTAATAAAAATCATCCATTTAAAGAGGCTCAGGGTATTTAAAGTTCTTTCTAAACACTAAGGAGTTAAGACATTTCTAACGAGAAGTACAAACCCATCTAACAACAAATACACACACACACACACACACACACAAACTATGGATTATATAATGGTTTCAATTTCCTTTTCTGAAGGGTTAAGGAGATAACCAAATCCAACATATATGTAAACTGCTAGTGACAAATACAACTTCCATAAAGAAATGAGAGCTGCGGACCACTTTTGCAAGCGAAACATTGTAGGAGATGACTCTAACCTGGGGCACAGTACATTCTCTCTATGGCATCGCTGTCACAGGAATCTTCAACCTCACTCCACCTGCTAAAATACGTTAGCTGAATGTGTCCTAAAAACAAAACGACAGGAGAAATCAAAACATTTTTCTCTTCCATTTTCTGCAGAAGTGAACTGTAATTACTCCTTTTGTAGCTAAAAACAGTATCATTAAGAATAATGGCATCATTAAGTACTAGAAGCTATTACTGGGGGTGAATTTGCTGCACTGATAATGAAGCTCTAGATAGGAAATGAAGATACTAATTACAAGATAAAACGCCTACTCAGTTAATTGGAAGCAACAGCGAATAAAAAGAAATGCATTTGCAAAAGTTCCTGACCTCTATCATTCAATAAGATGTTGTTTGGGTTCAAATCGCGGCACACAATTCCCTCTCTGTGTAAAGCATCAAGGGCTACCACCATTTCAGCTGCCCATCTCTGAATGCAGCCCTCTGGGATGTAAAACCTGGAGTGTAGTGCTAATTTTTTATCAAGGTCCTCAAAAATCTGATGTATCTCCTTGTCTCCTTCTAGTGCTAGCCCACTGGCTTCCTTAGTCGCAGAGTCTCTCTGAAATAAAGTCTGTTCCTCTTCAGCCAAATCATCAGCTTGATCTGTAAACAGCAATACTTCCTCACTTTTTAAAGTGTCCGTGTCTGCATTGTATTCGTTAGCACCTGAGAGTGGGTCAGAAGCAGGGAATACGCTTTCCTCTGTGTTGTTTGCAGTCACTGCCGACTCGACCACTCCAAGTTCTTGAAAGTTAGGTTGTGGGCTATGCATCAAGGAGATGTCTGAACTACTATGATCAACAGCAGCTACAAATAACATCCCAGGACCCCCCTCTACATGGTGTTTCTCTGTTATACCATCAGATGGAAGCCTAGAGGGGTCACTCAATTCTTCTGCACCTGCTTCTTCCTGTGCTTGGCACTGTTCAGCACTAAGCCTGAGGCATAAAACATCGGGGGCTTCCAATAGTTTACTTTCTATTATGCCTACATTAGTCTGTGTAAACTTAGTAGGTCCCATTGCTGCACCATCTTTTGTTGGTTCCAATTCACCAGGTAGGTTTACAAGAAGATCAGGCCTCCCTTCATCAGTACCACTGATATCATCAAAAGCAGCATCTTTAAAAGAAATAACTGGAACAGAGTCATCAGAGCCCCTGCTAATGGTGTCCTGAGCTATAACCTTGCTTTCACTAATATTAAAACTCCTGTCTCCATCTGAAAGAGTAAAAAATGGTTTCAAAGGCTCTGACTTTAGATTATACATTTTTTCTCCAAAATCAAGTCCTAGGAGCTCACTAGTGCTATCCTTACTGTCTATCCTAAAGAATTCCATGGAGCTGGTTTTAGATCTACTGAGGGAATCTGATGTCCTTGGAGAACTAACTGTTTCCAGATCATCATTTCCAGGGAAGAATTTAAGCTCATGTGCCATCAGCTGGGTGCTGGGGCTGTCGCTGTCAGCAACAAGGTGCGTGGGGAAGCCTTCAACAGCTTTGGTATCAACACCATTTCCTTCAGTCTTCATGAAAGGCTCCTCATTCAGTGACCCTGGTTCAATCTTTTCTTGCCCGTATTCATTGCATAAGGTTAAATAACTAGTAGTGCATTCTTCTTCTGAACTTGAGCCAGAATCTGGCCATTTTGGTGAGCTATCTTGGCCATCATCGTCTTGGTTGCTATCATCTTGAGAGCTCAGGGTAAGACTACTTTTCAGAGGCAGAACCTGAGGCGTGGGTCCAGCATCGCTTCCTCTGGATTCAAAGCTGCTGCTGTCCTGAGGACTGGAAGTTGGCTGTTGCAGGTGAACTTTCGTAAGTGCAGGTTTTTTCACTTCCTCGATGTCAAAGCTTTCTTCAGGACTTCTGTTGAGAAATTTACTGACATATGACCACAGTCTGCCACCTGTGAACAAGTACAACAACAACAAAAATTTTAAGATCCCTAAATTAACAGTTATTTATTGAAGTCACTAGAAAAGCAAAAGGTATTTGAATAATCAACTAAGAGCCAGTCAATGATACCCACCCATTAATATATCCAGTATGCTGGAAGACAAGTATTTTAATAAAATGTCTTTTGTTATTGCTGACTGGTGAGTACAGTGTCAGCATATCTCCTAATACCAATTATTTCTGAAATGACAACCCATTTCTTCCTTTGAAGGGAAATTAGTTATAACAAATACTAACATGAAATCTCACAGCTGACTTTCTGCTTTAAAGTTAAATATAATTTAGCTTTAGAAATAGCTGATTGTGTTCTGATTTGTTTATGTAATAATTTTTTCAAGCATAGCCCCTTGGTCAAGTGGAAATTCATAAATAAGTGCTGCTTAAAACTGTATACTTCACTGGTTAAAAAAAAAAAAGTCAATAATATTATTGCATTTTGAAAATGCCCAGTCCAAGAGTAGAGGGGAGATTTGGCATCTGGTATATAATTAAGCCATTATAAATGACATATTAATAATATTTTCCCATTTTCTCTCCTCCTCATACACATCATGTGTGGTATGAGACCAAGTAATGCAATTGAATATTAATTGGGCAGCCATTAATGAGGCAAGCTATTGTAATTCTAATTTTGTATTCTGATATATATCAGAAACCTATACAAACCAAAAACATAAAAAACAACTTCACATAAATCACAGAAATAAAATAAGCCAATGTTTTACCAGCAATACTTGTTAGGTAGCTATTTCACCTTATTTTTCATTTGTTTTGTTTTTACCATTAAAAACTAAAACTTTTTTGCTAATTAGAATCACTGATTAAATAAACTATAAGCATCCAAAACCTACCAAAGCTCTACTGACTAGAAACAGTATTACAAGAAGATTAGTTAAATTTGATCCAGAAATCTTAAAAACAGTAATTGCAGAAGCATACTTTCTAAACATATAACTGTAGCTTCCAAAAGTGAGAAATCATGTTAAAAATGAAACTCTTTATTAATATGGTGAAAGCAACTTTTTTCAGCACATTTTAATGCTATTATTAAGAATTACCATATTATCATATACCAAGGGTAAGTAAATATTAAGGGAAATAATCATTGACAGTCAATTACATGTGTAAAAAGGTCAATGGAAGCATCCAAAAACACTTTTTCTACTTCTCATTTCACTTCATTTAGAGAAATTTGATAAATATATAAAAAGTTCCCGATACTATGCCTCACATAGAGTAACTGCTCAATAAAGGGTATCCGTCATAATATTAATCCTAAAATACTCATGCATCTCCTCTACCAGTGACGTAACAGTTTTCTTCCATTTTGATAATAGTTAGTGGTATAGGATATTATGGTGTTTAAATGTTTAAACCTTCTCATTTTTCCTTAGCTAACTTTCTGTTCTCACTAAATTATACTTAGTTTTTCTTATTTTCCAAAATTAAAACTTAATTTTAAACATTCATATATGGCTTTGAAACTCACTCACTTATACAAGGAGCTATGCATTGGTTCCATCTTAAGTCTTTTGACAACAGTAACCACACCCTTCTTGTCACAAATAGCTCTACTGTGGCACACTAACAATAATGCCTAAACCTGAAGCTGGGATTCCTGTATGCAATCTAAAAAAATGATGAGTTATTTTCAATTCTCCTAGATGTGACTACTGTAAGGATGGAACCACGTCTTTTTCATTTTTGCATATGTACTTCCTACATAGTGCACAGGACATGATAGACAATGACATAACAATGCTTGTTAACTCGGATGGCAACTCATCAGAAGGAGACATGCCATCAGAAAGCAGACAGTATCTTCAGCATGAAGTTCCAGGAATCAGCAGGAAATAGCATGTACTAAAGTTCCAGGAAAAAATTTCATTCATTCTTAGGCCAATTCCACCTGGATGAGCTGCTGAAATCTAAAATTCAAGGTGCTCAAATTCTTTATTTTTGCCCCCCAAATCACTTCCTCTTTCTGACTTCTGAGCCATTCTGTCAGAAAAGCTTTGGACCAAACTTGGATTCTTTTCTCTTCCTTTTTCTCTCTACAATTTTCCAAGTCCTATAGGATCTACCTATAATGTTTCTCACAGTCCTCCTCTTCTTTTAATTCCTTTGACCATTCTGTGTTTCTGGAATAAAGTTGTAGCTACAACTTAATTGCTACCATAACTGCTTCCAATTTAGCACAGATCTTATGATGTCATTTTTCCATTCAAGAACCCAAATCCCCTCCACCTACTGAATGATGTACCAACTCCATAAAAATATTTGAAACCCTCAGTAATACAGTATCAACCCATAAGTTAATCCTCTCCCTCAACTCACTGCAAAATTCATCTGAATTCAAAATTCACATATAACCACGCTGGGCTTTCGTTCAAACTATACCTATCACTCAGAAGTTTCTTTCCTACTAGTTTCCCCAATATCTGCTTGTCAAAATCCCACTCATTCTTGAAGGTCCTTCAGAATTTGTTTTATTTCACCATTCTTTTTCATATCTCCTCATTGGATACAACTCCTATAGTCTCTCTATCATCTATACAACATTCTATTTCATATTAATAATACTTTTATGCTTTTATTATCTCCTTTACCAGACTCCAGAGCCTTTATAACTACAGGGAGAGAATTCTTTCTAGCATATAAAATAATAGGTATTAGAGTGGCTTATAAGAAGATAACATCTTTTACAAATTTTTGAAACCCTCTCAAGGAAAAAGGTCCCAAAATACCCTGTATTAATAATGTCATTATTTTTGATCATGTAATCTTCCTATTTTAAAACAAATATATGGTTCTATTGTTTAAAATTTTCAAATAAAGAAAAGAACAAGGAAAACAAAAAATTCAGAATATATAAATTATGCATAATCACTATTAACTATTAGTACATTTGTTTTCAGTCATTTTATTCATGACTAACATCATTTCATAAACATTTTCTAATTTTCACGAGAATATGAACTTGAAGGCTAGATAGCACATGTGACAGGTATCATGATCTATCAATGAACACTTACGTTACTCCAGCTTTTGCTATTAGAATTAAAATAATATATACTTTTACATACAAATACTTGGCATCTCTGATTATTTCATCAAAACAGAGTCCCAGAAATGAAAGTACTAGATCAATACTTTTAATGCTTCTGATATGTGCTGTTATCCCCAGGACCTACTCCTACAAGCAATGTGCATTGGTGCCATCTTTATAGCAACTTGCTTATATTGGATATTAGCAAGTTTACCAATTTGGCTGATGAAATACGGCATCTGATTTAATTTCTACTCTTTCATTATTAAGTAAAATTTCTAAATGTATTTGCTGGCACTTATGGAATTTGTTCTTAGCCTAAACAAGTATCCAAATTTATTATAAAACCTCCGCATGTTTAAGCAAAATATAAACTGTTTTAGCTCTTCTCCATCCTTTCCTAGGTGCCCACTTAAATTTAATGCTCAATATGGAGCTACAGAAACAAACATGTTGGACCTATCACATATTTTTTTAAATTACGAAATCATGAAAATCACGTAATTTACAAGAACACATTATTCCTACTGAAGTTTCTCGCCCACAAAAACTGATTGGGCTTTATTTTCTATAGAGATAAGATCAGATCCACCAGACTAACATACACGAAGTCAATCTTACTGTTGTAACATTAAAAATATTAACCTTAAAAAAATCCTATTATTGGCTAAACCACAAAATAGAAATACCAAACATATTTACGCTTTTTAACATTTAGGAATCGAAATGACACCTTTCTAAGCCCCATTGAAGCATATAAAATAGAAGATATTAGCTATTTTAAGCTATGAAAATAGTATTTTATAAGGTTTAATTAAAACTCTCTCTTTGTATCTCATCAATTTTAATCTATTGGGGTTTGGGGGGTTTTTTTGCAAGATTGCAAAGAAATTTGTTAAATTTAAATTTGCTTGACTAAAATTAGAACTTTAAATTAATATATATGATAAAATATTGCTGGACCAATGATCAAAATCATCTTTTGACCCAGCAATTCTACTGAAAGGAATTTCTCCTAAAAATAGGTCTCAAAAAACAAAGATATATAAGTAAAAGCACTAGAAACAATTTAAATACCAATTAACAGGGGGTAATTAAATAAATTATGGTAAATCTATACTACGAAATACTTTGTATTTGTTAGAGCAATACTTTCAAATATTTATATAGTGTTTACCATGTACCAGGCCCTGTTCTAAGTACTTTACACATATCAACTATGTAATCCTCACATCAGTCCTATTGAGGTAGGTAATTATTATCACCCCTATTTTATAGATAGGGAAACATAGGCACAAAAAAGTTAAGTAACTTGTCCAAAGTCATACAATTAGTAAATGGTGAACTGGCTCCAGAATCCATGTTTTTAAGCATTACACTATACTACAGACCTATATACACTGAAAAGGAAAGCTGTCCAAGATACATTGTTAAGATGGGGGGAGAGGGATAAGCTACAAAACAGTATTTAAGATTCATTTATGTGTTGTTTATTAAGCAGACAGGTAGGGAGTATATGTTTATACACACAGGAAATTTCCCCCTATTTCTAGAGAATGAAACTTGACATTAAAGTGAATAGGGAGGGAGAGTTTTAATTTTACTTTGTATACTCCTACATAGTTCGAATTAATTTCTTTACATATTAGTTTTATAAATTTTTAAACTAGTTAATAAAAAGGTAATAATTTCACTCCTTGGATCCCCAAATAACTTGGGTAGAAATTACTTCCCATCTCCCATCTATTTGGTGCACATTCAAAAGCTTTTCCAATCATTTTCTTCTAACCTAGTCATTTCATTTTTCCTCTGACTCAGTATTCAACAATTATACACTGAGCACCTTCCATATTCTAAACATCCTGCTAAATGCTGGAATATGTATTATGAATATGATTTAATCCATAATCTTCGGAACTTAAAAAGTTTCAATAACACTCATGGCCTTTACTGAATACAATTATTTTCCCACTTTTTCTTCCTTAGAGTCAAAGTAAGAGATTCATTAACAGAAACGAGCATTTTAAACCTCTCTCCTAAAATCTCATCTGGTATAGCCAACTGCCCACTCCATACCACCTAGATTTAATAAGCATCTCACACTCACATGTCCAAACTAAATCTCTGATTGCTCCCTCTACATCTGCCTCTCCCCCAGCTTTCCCATCTCAGTAAATGGAAACTCCATTCTTTCAGTTCTTTGAGCCAAAACCCTGGAGTCATGCAAGGTAGAATCATGTCAGTTCTATGCTCAAAATATATTCGGAATCTAATAATCACTTCTCACCACCTCCACCATTAACATTTTGTCCAACCCCCCATGATTTTCACCTGGATTGCTGCAACAACTTCCAAACTGGTCTGCTTTTGCCTTTGTCCTTCTATATTCTATTTTCTACAAAGCGGCCACAGTGATCCCCATCTTGCCACAATGCCCCCCAATAACTATCTATCAATAAAAATCAAGTTCTTAAAGTGGCCTACAAGACTACACAGGATCTGCCCACCTGTCTCCTCATCTTGCTAGGCTCATTTCCTGCCACTCTTCCCATTCTGCTTCCACCACAATGACACTCCTGCTTCTTGTACACCAAGTGCACACTCTTGCCTCCAAGCTTACGTACTATTCTCTCTTGCCAGGATAATGTTCCCTCACGTATCCACACTGCTCCCTCTCTCACTTCCTTCAAGTTACTGGCCAAATATCCCTTCTTACTAAAGGGACCACTCTATATAAAATAGCAACCCCTACCTCGCCCTTTTGGCATTCCCTTCCTTTATTTATCTCCATCTGACATATATTTACTTAAGTATTTGTGTACTGTCTGTCTGGCTTTTATAATGTAAGTTCCATGTGGGCAGTCTTCATCTATTTTAGAACTAAGACTGTATCCCAGTAAACATGCAATACATTTCTGACTGAATGAAAGAAAATAAGTCAAAGAGACTAATGTGAATTATGAAGTTTTTTGTAAGCAGAGGAAAACTAAAGCCACAAATCATAAATATTCAAATATTCATATTATGAAAAAACAACTGCTCATTTACTTTTTCAGTAACAGTTTAGCCAGTATATGAAAGTGACATTTGTATGCTATATGCACAACTTCCTAATTCACAGAGATAACAAAGAAAGCACCACAAATATGTAAAAGATAGCACACAGTCCATCATCTAGTTCACTTGATTGCTCAAGCCAAATCCAAGAAATTGCCATAGATTTTTCTCTCCCAAAATTTATTTTATCACAGATGCCATGGACTCTAAGTATCTCTGCTAGTAGGCTAGAAGGCCATGCCATCATAATTTCTTGCCAGAGACTACTCAATTAGCCTTCTCACTGCTTCTTGTCTTACCTTTCTATAATCCATTCCCCACACAACAGCCAGAGTGATTTTTTTTCTTAATGTAAATCTGTTCTGACCACTGCTTCAGATGTCCAATGTTTCCCAATGCACTTGAGTAAGAGCCAAAGTCCTTACTCTGTCATAGAAGTCTCCTGCCTGCTTCTCCCATATTCCACTATTACCCTCACCTACTACACTACAACCAAATGACCTCCCTTCTTTTCCTCAAACATTTCAAGTTTGTTTTTGCCTTCAGTTTCTTTCACTGATGCTGTACCTGAAATGTGATTCCCCCTTCCATCCAAATGGTTCTTTTGTCATTCAGAATTCTTAAATGTCATCTGGACTTCCCTGACTACCTAATCTAAAATAGTCCCCCAATCCTTATCTACTGGATCTCTCTCTGTTAAAGATTAGTATGGTATTGCCCAGCCTGTGTGACTCAATGATTGAGTATCGACATATGAACCAGGAGGTCATAGTTTGATGCCCAGTCAGGGCATATGCCTCAGTTGTGGGCTCGATCCCCAGTGGGGGTCGTGCAGGAGGCAGCCGTTCAGTGATTCTCTCTCATCATTGATGTTTCTATCTCTCTCTCCCATTCCCTTCCTCTCTGAAATCAATAGATAAAAAATAAAAGATTAGTATAGTCCTTATTATTATCTAATATTCTCATGCTTTTAGTTTTTCTGTTTGACTCTTCACAAGAAGAATGTAAGTTTCAAAGGGGTAGGCTCTTTTCTTGTTTTGTTCACCTAAACATACTCAATAAATTTGTTGAATGTTAAATGAATCCAGAGTCCCCATTTGTACTATAATTTAATATTTTTGCATTATAAAATCTTCTTAAAATTAAACAATAGACACCTAAGAAACACAGTAAAAAGAGATTCCCTACCCCTAAGTCCTATATAATAAAAGGCTAATATGCAAACTGACCAAACGACCAGTCGCTATGACGTGCACTGACCACCGGGGGCAGACGCTCAATGCAGGAGCTGCCCCCTGGTGATCAGTGTGCTCAGCCAGAAGCTGGGCTCATGACTGGTGAGTGTAGCAGCGGTGGCAGGAGTCTCTCCCACCTCCGCGGCAGTGCTAAAGATGTCCAACTGCCGGCTAAGGGACCTAAGCCAGCAGTCGGACATCCCCCAAGGGCTCTTGGACTACAAGAGAGCACAGGCCGGGCTGAGGGGAACACACACACACACACACAAATTTTGTGCACCAGGCCTCTAGTGTTTACATAACCCAAGACAAATTCTATGGTCATGTGACCATTCAAATTCAGATATGGTCAACAACAAAGGAAAATAGACTTGGTAAAGATAATCTAAAATAGTGGAAAATTTGAAAACTATTATGTCTATGTCTTTAAATCAGATTATAAAGGCTTTCTATAATACTGCAATAAATTCAGTTGAAATATCAGCTTTAGAGTAGAAGGGAAGGTGAGAAAATGGCCGAAGAAAAACTGAAGTATGAGTTGAAGAAGCAAGAGAAGAACAGGAAGAGGAAGTTGTAAATAGCAGGGGTAAAATAGGATTACAAATTTGCCACAGATAATCTCCAACATGAATAATCCACCCTGGGTAATAGAACATTGACTATAATTACATTCATCCTACCGACCTTGCTCTAAATTATTATGGATTATTACTGCACAAGTTATTTTTGTTCCACACCAGAGGTGGTTGTATTCAGCTATCAGATGACATGACCTCTAATTCAATAATGTCTGTAATGCACTGGTATCCTCAGATAAAAGCTGTCTATAATGTCTGAACAAAGGTGAATTAGTTATCCAATTCACACACGCAATTAACTCTCTTAATACCTGAGAGACCATGAAGCCCCTTCTGAATTTCCTATTAAGTACCACATATGGAGGTCTTCCCTCCATCTGTAGTTATCTTGTGCTGTACTTCATAATAAACAATATTAATAGTTTACTGCCATCAAAAATCTTGCATTAGTTCTCATAAGAGACCTCATTCTGCAAAGCAATGACTCATTTTCCTGGGAAAATGCATTAAATTCAAATATTATGCCTATTAGTAAAGCACAATAGTTCCCTATTCTCAGTAATGTAAAAATAATAATAACACCTTCATGAAATACAGAAAATATAATATTTTCACCATTTTAAAGAACACCTCTTAAAAGCCAAAAGGCAATATTTATACTGTGGATTTATATTTATATGCTGTATTCAGTTATTTTTAAGAAAAAAAATTTTTAATTCAGGCACTAAAGGGCAAAAACAAATCAAAACATAGTCTTTTTGCCACCTGTTCCCTCTACTCAGAGCTGAAATTTCACAAAGAGTTTGAAGGCAGAGTAGTGTGCTTCTCTCTGTTTTGTCCCCATATGTGATGCCAATGGCTGTATTCGCAAAAACCCAGATTAGAATAACTAGGTCATGTCTAATGTCAAGCAAATACCGGGCCTTCTAAAAAGGGAGGTAATTAATTAATTCTTCAGGGGATGCTTTTTATTTTAGTCATCTAACATTAATGTATTTTGTTCTCTTGTTGAACAAAATAAAATCTGTACAATTAAATCTGGCTCTCTTAGCACACATTTCCATCCTATCAGATCAAGTCTAGGAGAAAGCAAGGAGTTAAGTATATCAGCAGAACGATCCTGTAGCTCCAATGAAATCTGCTGCTCACCTGGGTTTTCATTTCCCCTCCCAACTCAAAGTAGGCAGGAAAGGCAGAGGAAGAAGGCAACAGTTTCTTACATGTGTTTCATATGTTTTACCCGTTCGTGTAATGACAGATGGACATTCTAAAAACCAAAAAACTAAATAGGTGACATTCCTGGCTCCAAAATTTTAAAGTACAAACCAACCTTCTGCATGCTGCAGCACAAGAAATACCGACTCCTCAGAAATGATGTACTTGTGCAGACACACCATGTTGGGCACACAGCGGGGGATGATGGTCTTTCTGTTCCTGCTGTATTCACTGCTTTTCCTTAGACCCTGACAGAGAACAAAAAGGTCAGTTGTACCCTCAGTTGCCTTTGGAGCCTGCTGTGCTCTGTGTTTATCAACCAAACTAATCTATCCGAGTGACTCTGGGCTTCAGAGAAACCACTCATCTGCTGCTCTATGCCCCTCAGTCCCTGGAGGCTCTGCTGATGGCATCTGGCGAGAATCCAGAGAACAGAAGATGCCACAAAGCTGCCATTAAAATCAATTATGTGGGTCAGTGTTTTTATTAGAGATGCTCTCAAACTAAGTCATCAGGATCACACACAGTTATTTCTCTATGACCTTTTCTTAAGTTTTATTTACTTGTGTATATCTTTAAAGCAGTAGACATTGTGAGATCAATTCGAATTCCTGAGACACAAAAGGTATTCCTAGATTAAACAGGCAATTTTAAAGTTCTATTCCAAAAAAGCACAAAGATTATTTTAGTTTTCTCCAAAGGAACAGGTGTGTGCAGAAACGTGTCATACCTTGGTTTAAAAATCTGGGGAAATGCCAGTGATAAAATATATTCATAAAAAGAAATTTGTTTCAGTATATGTCAATGTGATCTACTGCCATGCATCAAAAAAAGAAATATAAAATTAATATGAAATTGATTAATTCTGGATGCAGTGGAAATGCTTAAATGCTTGTTAAATGTATGCGATGGAAGGACAAAAGATAAAATAAATACAGATCATCACAAATATAAATGAACATTCCAAATAGAACATTCAAACACCCAGGAAAACAATATTATTTTTTTTCTTTCAGAGCACAATTTGAAAATAAATTTCAAGATCATTAAACATATAAATAAAACTTTAAAATTACTTTAAAAATTAAATAAATAAACATACAAATTCTACTTACTTTTAAAATGAATGTCTGTTCTGTCCTTGTGTCCATTACAAGTAAAACCTACATAAAAAAATATGAGTAATAATTTATTCACAATACAATGCAACATTAACTCATAACTTTTTAAAACTACACTTTAAGGGTTTGGGGAAAGTGCTAAATTGACTCCACAAAAGATTATTAACTTCTGAACAGATTTTTTTTGTTAAGGCACCAAATCACAGGATTAAAGTAGTCTTACCTGAAGGTTTTATTATTGTTTCCTTTCTAAAAATGCCATATTTTAGAAAAATTACTGTTTCCTAGATTTACTTTAAAATGTATTTCTTAAAAGTGAATGAAAAATTATTTTAGACATTACTTTAGAATTTTTTTCTCATGAAACTTAGTTAAGAAGTAAAAAACAACAACAAAAAAAAACTTTTATAGTAATTGCCGAAATCTCGATTTTCTCCCTACAGCCCCTTACGTAGCCACTTGCTATTATAATGTGATCTTAGTAACTCAAGCTCCAGTCTGAGGCATCCTTATGGTCCCACTTCTCCATCCTGGACTCATCCTAACTCAGTGATGACGAACCTATGACACGCGTGTCAGAGGTGATACGCGAACTCATTTTTTTGGTTGATTTTTCTTTGTTAAATGGCATTTAAATATATAAAATAAATATCAAAAATATACATCTTTGTTTTACTATGGTTGGAAATATCAAAAAATTTCTATATTTGACACGGCACCAGAGTTAAGTTAGGGTTTTTCAAAATGCTGACACGCCGAGCTCAAAAGGTATGCCATCACTGTCCTAACTCCTCTTTTTCCATCAGCAAATTCTGTTAGCCTTATCTTCAAAATGTATCTAGAATTGAAGTGCCTCACCACTTCATGGCTATTTCCCTAATCCAAACAAAGACACCTGGATTAGAACAACTGCCTTCCCAGCAGATCTCTCTGCTTCCATCTTTGCTGCCCTTGGTCTGTTCTCTAAATAGCAGGCAGGGTTTTCTTTTTAAAACAGAAGTAGATCATGTCACTCCTCTCATTCAGATAAAAGACCTAAGTCCAAAAGATGATCTCAAGACCCCTCATGATCGCACACACTGCCACTCAAACTCCCGACTCCCCACCCTCTTGATAGATGGAAGGAGCGAAGAGAGATACAAAATTATCCTACCATTTTAATATTTTATTATTAAATAAATAACCAGAGGTTGGCAAACTTTTTCTATAAAGAGACAGATAGTAAATATTTTAGCTTTGCAGGCCCATGCGGGAGGTCTCTGCTGCAGCAATTCAACCCCACGTTGTAGCACCAAAGCAGCCACCATCTGAAACGGGCTGTGACAGGAGTATTTACACCACAGAAATCAGCAAGCACTGTAAACAGGGAATTTTTCCCGCTCAACTCCAGAGCACTGGGAGTCAAGGATGAAAAAAATTGGTGGTCAGAAGAAAAAGTGGCGAGTTAAGATGAGACAGCAATTTGAGATGGTAAATTCCATTTTCGACATGATAAATTTGAAATAATAGTGACATCATCTTTGACCTCTCTTCTGAGTGCCTGATATACTTATGTAGGTCTCCATTTAATTTCAATTGAATATCCCCACAGATATCTCCTGAGCTCACCCCTTTCTCTCCCAAAGCCCTGTCCCCACTAAAACCAAAACAAAACCCTGTTTCTCCTCCTATAAAACTGAATAATACCACCATCCACAGAACCCCCCCAAACCAAATAGTTCCCTAAGTCACTATAAATCCCCTGCCCCCTACCTTCATAACCAGTGACTACGACAGTCAATTCCACCTCTTATTTCCTTATCCACCCTCTACTGTCCTTCACCTACCAGGCTTTAAGTGTTTACTATGTGCTGTGCTTTAACCATGTGTAATCAATGTTAATTCTTTTAACTACCCAATGTGATAATTTTACCATTTCTATTCTAACTGTGAAGACATTACAGCTTCATCTGTAGGAGCTATAATGGTAGATAACAATGGTGTCTATCATATGTGAAAATTTCAGTGAGAGATAATCCTGTAAAAGTACTGGTATAGCCAGTTGTTATTATTACTGCTATCACTATTATTGCTTCTTCTCCCTTAAATGTTCCCCCATCCACTTACCAAACAAGTGCTCATCTTTTCAAATGTCTCTCAGTAACAGTCTTTTCTTCCTTTGTTCTCACCCTGTATACGTTACCAACTTCTATATAGCATTTCTAATCCTTCAGTTTGGTTTTATGCTTACTTGTCTCTCTCCCAATTTAAGGTTTGTATCAGCATGTTGAAAGAAGAATAATGGTCACCAAAGATGTTTTTCCCCAGTGTCTCCAGTGAGGAACACAGCCCTGCCAGCACCTTGAGTTTAGCCCAACATGACATACGTCAGACATCTATCCCATGTGACAATAAATTCAGCTGTTTTAAGCTGCTAAGTTTGTAATACTTTGTTATGGCAGCAACAGAAAGCTGTATAGGGCAGAAATGATGTCTCCTCCGACCCATGTGTTTCCCATAATAAATGTTCAAAGTGAATGAATTCAGGTATAAAAGTATGGAAGGTAGATGGCAATATCAGAATGAAGCTTAGAAAATAAATTGAAACTAAAGGTTTATTCTAGTATTTGAGCATTCTTCATAAAGACAATAGCTAAAGGCAGGAGAACATGCCCCACTAAAAAAAAATGCTTACTTTATCCTAGGCACTGTATTTGGGTTTTAAAGAATTAAATCACGTAATGCACTCAACAATCCAATGAGGTAGATACACTTTAACCAATGTTACAGTTGCTCATGCTCAAGAATTTAAGAAATGGTAAAGGTGAAATTTAAACCCTAGCAGTCTGGCTACAGGGTTCTTCTTTTTTAATTGCTAAGCTATACTAGTTATGTCTAAATTCTATGTCATACATAGCTGTTATATTGAGAATATCTATATTTATAAAAGCCTAAGCGACCATTACGACCGGATGACCTGCTGGTAGCTATGATGTGCACTGACCGTCAGGGGGCAGACACTCAATGCAGGAGCTGCCTCCTGGTGGTCAGTGTGCTCCCACAGCCAACCTCCCGTGGCTGGCCAATCTCCCACAGTCCCTACCCCTGGCCAGCTGGCCCCAATCGGCCCCAATCACCAGCCAGGCCAAGGGACCCCACCCGTGCACGATTTCGTGCACCGGGCCTCTCGTATAGACAATAACCACCAAAATTGTAGTGAGAAAGGTACAAAGAAAACCAGAAAATGTAGAGGTTTAAAAACAATAAAACCATGTCAAGGAAAGAAAATGCTTTAAATTAGTGTAAGCATCTAGAAGCCACGAAGACTGAAAAGGAGAAGGGATTACTGCCTAGGGAATATAAAGCCACTGGTAACTTGTTAACAAATATTGCATTATGCAGTGAACTGGTGGAGATAGGAGCCAGACTCCTCTGAATTAATAATGGGTGATAAGAAAATGGAGGTGACATATATAAATCTTTTAATACAAAAATATATCAAAAGGAAAAACACTAAAATGAAAGAGTTGGTAGGATCATCAGGTTGAAACTATTTTCGGAGGATAGACCTATTCTCCCCATAATTCCCCTTTGAGCTACCTTCTGCACCAATCTTCCACTGCATTCAAAGAACTTGAACCTTGACAGTTAAAGTAACATATCATGAGAGCAAAAGGAGGCACAAGGAGGCACAGGGCCCTGCCCTTTCTCTGCAAAAAAGAAAGTGAGTCTGTGAAGACATGTAGGGCCCTCAGATCTCATTTGTTTTTATATCAAGTTGTGACTCCTTTAAGCCACTCACCAGAATGCCAGTCCTACTTAAACAAGACATATCTCTATGAAATAGAAACATTTCACTGGGTAAAAGGTATGGAAGCTGTACAAAGGAAAGAACTTCTTTCTCCTACCAGAAGCTTCCGAATTGACTAAACTGCCTCTATGCACATAAATCAGAAGTGATATCTCTTTGCCGTCTCACTTAGCCATGAAGCATGAAGTGGATCAGATAAAAAGGCCAAATGAAGACCAATAAACATGCCTGGGAAGTGCTGCTTTGTTTACATTTACTTTCTTCTCCTACCAAGTTTGTCTGCAGCTAGACAATGTTCACATTGAGGCCATAAACACAAGAACATATGTGGTTTTTTTAAAATGTGCCCTTTGACTGTCAATTTCTCCCAAACAGGTGTTGGCTAAATGATTATAAATTGGCCTCTGGATACACCTCTTCAACTGAGCCGTACAGGGCTGGTGATAATATAATTAGACCTAAAAACATCAGGCCAGTGAATGCTTTCCATCTGTTTGGCAATAATGTTTAGTTAACAATAGTCTTTAAAAGAAGCACCTTCAACTTCAGTTCTTAAAGTTATTTATAGAGCCATTCTTAACACACCAGCACTCTTGCTAACAAGAGCTTTAGCCACTTGGAAATTATTAGCCATACGGCTGTATACAAAGAGAAATGACTGCATTTAACATCTGTATCTTTCCAAATGTACACGCTTCAACCTCATTTAAAGTCATTTCTTAATGAGCAGTGCTGTGGTGCTGCATTAATATTATAGTTGCATGCACAAAGATCATAAGGAGCCAAACATTTTTTTAATGCCAATAGTAGGCCAATCTGTAATGAAGCTGTCAGCATAAAGGACAAAATAATAGCTTCTTTAACCCTCAAACAGAATTTGTTCATTTGTAGCATAGAACACATCAATTTAAAAACTGCTCATGGGTTTACTCACCTTTATAAAGACAAAAATCTAATTTGGTACTAATTTGATACAATTGTCTTTCCAATAAAAGGCTCCTAAACCCATCTCTTATTTAATAATAAAACAAGTACTATAACTAAAACTGTCATGAAATAATTATCTTGGATAGCATACCTTATTGAGAGAATACAATTAATGTATTTCCCTTTCATTTTTCACACTTACTTATCAGCACTATATTAGCATACGGTCTAATAGAAGAGATTACTCCATCTTTGCCTGTAGTAATATCTAAAAGGACTGCTCCTCACTGGGGAAAAAAGCAGACAACTTATCCCATAAGGATTA